TCGAGAGGGGAAAAGGAAAATGGATGGATGGAAGAGAGATGCAGTATACTGCACAAAACAACTGATAGATAGATAGGAAATAGAAACAGTTTATTCAAATTTAACATAAATCAACTGTATGGAAAATGGAAATGAGAGAACGGGTGACCTTCTGGATTTAAGAACAAGAACGATGGAACGGAATAGATGGAAAGAGTATAGGATAGGCAAATTGATTTTTCAAAGTTTTTGACTATTTGGGAGACTTCTTTTTTCAAATTATCTGGGGCACCATTTCTGACCAAGCCTTTTGGAATCCTGTGTTTTTTGATAACTTATTAGGACTGAAAAGATGATAATGAGCAGGAAAAGATATGATTGATAGATACCGTAAAACCTGTAATGGAAGAACCCCAATACTCGCAATTTATGCTAATTATTCTTGGCTCCTGTGCAAGATGTCAGAAATGTGTCTACTGATAAAACGTTTGTGATATTATGATAAACAATTCATCCGTTTACTACAATTGTATATCTTTGGCAGGAACCGAGATAAACTGGCTCAAAGTTAAACGTTAGAGGACCCTTTTATTACAGGTTTTACGGTATCTTATTGATCCCGATTTCGGAACAAATCGCAATATGGATTGGCTATGTCACAGCGACTATTTCTAATTTGAAAAAAAAAGATCGTCCAATAACGGTTAAAAGATTTCTTTTCAGTTTACCGTAAAATCTGTATTGATATTGCATGCAAGTCTATTGTTCAAGTCACCTCAAGGGGTGCAACTCTATTAGAGAGGCAATTCAAATAGAGGCTGCAATTCTATTTTTCAAACTACGAAAATTTTGAAAAAAAAGTTTTATTATGAAAATCAACAAAAAAGTAACAAATTGAACACAACAAAAGGAAAATATTCAAAAAATTGAGGCGTCACTGTCATAGTTATTGTCTTCTTCCTCGGCATGGTTCATTTCTCCATCGTCTTCCTCAATTTCAATATCTCCCAAAATCTCCTGAATTTCTTCCATTTCTCGTTCTGCTCGTCTTGTCTTCAATAACTGTACGCCTTCTGGAATTTCTCCATCTTTCTTGAAACAATGAATTGCCTCATCATCTTCGCCATTTCTTCCATTTTTTAATCCGCATCCTTTGAATGATCTTACAATGTATTCCTTCGGGATATTTTCCCACGCCAATTGAATCCATTTCAAATAAACTTCCATACTGGGAGCACGCATATTTCCCGCCGGGGTGAACGATTTCGTTCCATGAACCATCCAATCTTCATACTCTTTTCTGATGAAAGATTTAAACATTGCGTTCCAATATACATCTGGAGCCTGAAAAATCGGGTCACGCAAAGTTTCAATAAAATCTACTCACTTGTAAGAATTTTGTGCATCCTCCAGGAATCACCGCAGTGTCTAGTCTCAGTTGTTTCAATACTTTTTTAGTGTCTGTACTGATGTGGCAACGGTAAGAGTCCCATACTAACAACCTTTTTCCGAACATTGAGTGACCGAGAACTTTTTCAAGAAAAGTTTTTGTGATTTCATCGTTGAAAAATGTTCTGTCACACCAAACCAACTGCAAAGTTTTTCTAAATGTTTCCTCAATACTTTGCACTGGTCTTTTTCTTGGAAGAAGTACAAAAGGTTTGCACTTAAAACCGTCTGATCGAGCGCACAGCATTACTGTAACATGCAATTTCTCGTGTCCCGTGGTTTTCACTGAAACCTGAAATTGAAACGTTTAGCTTGTTATTTTTGAGTGTGCTGACTTGTTTAGATCCTCGATCCGCTACAGTCAAACTATTCGAACAATCCAGATAAACCGCGTCTCATCACATGCGAAAATTTTGTCATAATTATTCATGGTAATTAATCGTTCCACATAAAGGAGAAAGTCAATAATTTTCTCCACATAAAACTCTGGCGGTTTTTGACAGACTGTTGTAGCACGTCTACTCGAAAATCCATGCCGCTTCAAAAAAGAAACCAGCCATCCATTCGAGAACTGCAACATTTAATGTTTAATCTCAAGTAGGTAATCTGTTTTCAAACCTTCATATCACTACTTGAAATAGACTTGGCGCGATTCTGGATTCCAATACGAGTAATACGAAGCTTTTTTTCTCTTTGCTCTCGGACCCATTCCGCAAGTTTAGTATCAAAATCTTTATCATTCACTTTACGCCCTGCGCCATCAAGCCGTTTTTTCTTTTTTCCATTTTCAGCGATTGTTGCTATTATTTTTTCTTTCTGAGCTCTCCATTGTTGCACATTTTGTCTTGAAACTCCAAATTTCTTAGCTGCTTCCGTGTTATTTTTTGATTCTGCCCATTTCACCACCGTAAGCTTGTAATCCAAGGGGTGGGCTCCACGCTTTCTCTTTCTAGAGTTTCCACCAACTTTTTCAACGTCTTCCACGTCTTCCACGTTTTCCACGTCTTCCACGTTTTCCACGTCTTCCACGTCTTCCACATTTTCCACGTCTTCCACGTCTTCTACGTTTTCCACGTCTTCGAGGACTTCTTCAGAACTCATTGCTCGTGTTGCTCGCTTCAATAAATGGAAAATATTGTTAAAAAAACAAAGAAAAATAAAAATAAATCAGAAATTAAGTAGGTAGTTTAAAAAAAAAGAAATTCGAAAAACAACTGTGCAATTGTTCGTCACGGTGTCACAGACTAAAAATTGCACAGTACTCCCGGCGGAGCCGCAATTCTGCTGGAGATGCAATTGTATTACGGGGGCAATTCAATTAAAGGCTGCAAGTCTATTTTTCAAGTGCCCTCAAGGGGTGCAAGTCTATTAGAGGGGCAATTCAAATAGAGGCGCAATATCAATACAGATTTTACGGTAACTTCTTTCCCCAAATTCGAAAAACCGGAACTCTCTACGAGTACTCTTCTTCGCGAAAGAATTCGTTGGGGAACCATTATCCGTTTTGAAAAGAATTCATTTTTGGAGATAACAAATTGTCCCATTTCTTGTCTTCTTTCTTCTATTCGTACACTAAGACGACATCCACCTACTTTTTCTTTTCGTTTCCCAATTTTTTCCCATGTACGACTCATTCACAAATATGACAAGTTCATCGAGAATGCATACTTTCCCAACCAGATCCGTCGCTCGAATCCCACTTTCTTTTTACTCTTTTTTCACACCCCATTATAATTACTTTTACTATTTTTTTCCTTCTGAAAACAACGAGCAATCGGTGTTTTTTTCCACTTGACAATATGTCACAAATCGAATTGAAATGAGGAAAGGGGATTAGTTGAAGAAGGAGAAGAAGAAAAATAAAGCATGTTAATGAGAAGACAAAGAGGTCAGTCAACGGACCACTTGTTAACAGGAATGCCCACGACTCGGTGGTCAAATTTCAAGTTTTCTCTCATCTTGAATTCTATTTTAATTTTCGGTTATTGTTTTTATACTGTAGACTTTTAAAAATTAAGTACTCAGTGTACCAAACTTCAATTTGTCCCATAGAGTATGAGTGTTGATTTCAGTGATTCGATTTTTTCCGTGATTATTGGCTTTTAAACTGTGCACCTTCCAAAGAATGCTAGCATTGTGAAGCCAGTCAACATCTTTTTTGATACCCATAACATTTGAACAGAACGCCACAATCCTTTCGTCCATCCGGACATCGGCTAGTAATCCAAAACACTGCTCCCCGTCTGTCCATCTGAAGGCAATCAAAGAAGTTGTCAGGGTTGCTCTTTCGCTTCCGGAAGAAAGAAAGAGAGAGCTTTTTCTACTGATCGTTTTCCATGATAGAAGAACTTGAAGTCGTGATGCCCCTTGCCCCCCAGTCAATCTCTATTCTCCTATTCTCTTTTGACCAATTTTGTGCAGGAGAAAGAGTAGAAAAGTACAACTCTCTTTTCATCTAATTTTCTCAATTCTATTCGCACCTTAAAGTTGTTTTTTTTCGTGTATCTTTTCAAATCTCCGGGGAGTTTGGAAAAAGCGAAAAAAAGGATTAGTGCGTTCCGATAGATCAGTTTTCAGATGAGCATTCGATGTTTCTTTTTAAAATCGACTTTACGCGCCTTTCGTTTCTTTTTAGATTTGCAGAGTATGTTCCTCTAGCACTTCAAAGCTCTAGATAAATAATCTACATTTGTTAAAATGATTCATTTTATATCCGCTAGCAGGTTTCCACCAACTAGAATTGGAAGAGTTTTATTTTTGCAAACACTGTAATTACAGTTTTTTATTATTCAATTTGATACGTTATTCACAATTTTAGAAACTTTTGAAAAACTCAAAAGTTTCTCCTTCTCGAACCATTTCTAGTATTAAGCCTATCACAAATCTGAAAATCGTAGTTGCATAGATGCATAGTAGGGATTTTTTTCAGAATTTTCAAGGCCCGGGGTTTCAGTAATTCGTTTTCCTGTCATTTCAAAAATAAATTTCTGAGTCAAGAGAAAATGAAGAAACAATTTTGTCACAAGAAAATTCACGAAGTTTCAATTTTTCAAAATTAAAAAAACCCGTGCCCCATCAGGCCCGCGAACCGGGCACTGACTTCATAATGCTTGATCGGATCATCAATACTTCGAACCTTCCCAGTGTCTGATTTTCTCCTTTTTTTTTCTTCCTAATCCCTTTCAAAGTACATCGAACTGTTGTATTATTCTTGTCTTCTAATTGACATCGTGGTCAGAAAAACGTACAGCTCTGTTGCGCAACGAAACTTCTTCCACTGGTCCTGCAACATTTCACCCAATAACCGAATTACACCAAACATGGCGTATCTTGGCGGGGAGGCCATTTCGTTCTGATGGACCTCATTGTCTTCTGAAGAAACACATCCCTATGTGTGGATATACATACACTACGCTTCTTCTTCTTCTTCTTAATTGCATTTATTCATTTGTTCGTTGTCTCCGGCTGTCAGCTCACCGCTCCGGCTATTCAGATCTTCTACTTTTTCTCACACTTCGATTCAATCCTTTATCACTTTTTTCTTTTTTTCAGTTTCTGGAATGAAATGAGAGATGAGCCACCTCTTACTTCTTCGTCTTCTGTTTCTTACCGGCACCATTTGCCAGGCGAGGCTTATCAATTCAGAAGTTGTTAAGGATGTATCAGTCTATCTCTGCTCCCATATCTCAACGTATTCTCATGCCAATATGAATGTAGGTTACATGAGGAAGTATTGCTCATGATTTTTCACTTTCTTTCAGTTCTTTTCCTATCCGGTACAGTTTTGCGTCACACTTCGATCAGACAAGGGAATACGGTAGGCTATTTATCCTTGTAGTTATTGAAAATTGTTAGAATTTTCAGAGAAGAAATCAAGGATCTCCAATCAACAACCTCTCTACAAAGCCGAGTTTCGATATCCTGGCGACAGTTGGCAACTGCCAATTCGTGCAGATTAACATTTAAAGGATACCAAACAGAGTATCGAATATCTCCAGATCTTGGTGGTTATGAGACTTGTCAGACATCTATTTCGAGACATTTATTCAAACTATCTCAAGGAATGAATTTGGGAATCGAGCATCAGAAAAGAATCGAGTTCAATTCCACAAATCAGGATTGTCCTATTCTTAATGTACCAACTGTGTATCCAGTGAGTTATTAAAAACCTTTTTTTCCTGATTTGAGGTTTTAATTGAAACAAAAAAATTTTTCAGGAATACGTGTCTTGCAAATTTACTTCCAATGAGTGGTATCAAATAGAATGGAAGTCTACAATCCGATATGAGACATTCAGGAACGGGGAATATGGTGAGTAAAACCTGGACTCGTAACTTTTAACTTTGAGCAAATTTATCTCGGTTCCTGTCAAAGATATAAAAAATTTGTCAACTGAAGAAATGTTTATCATAATATCGAAAGTGTTTTGTTAGTTTATCTTTTTTTTTTGATAACTGACAGGAACCGAGAAAAGTTGGGTCAAAATTAAAAGGTAGGGGCCCTTATATTACAGGCTTACGGTATTCTAACTTTATATCATAACATTCTGATAACTTCAGGAACTTATTGGGCAAACGACACTCAAAACTTTATTGTTAAAATGAGTGAAGAAATGAGAAGAAATGGATCAGAACATGTTTGGCTGAAAAGGCTTTTAAAATTGGAATCAAGGTGAGGACTCTTCAGTTTCGAATATTTTTAAACGTTTTTATAATTCTAAGGTTGGAAGGATGTGATGCCACAAAACTATTAATCCGATTTGCTGATGATTGGACATATTCAGCAAACAGTGTAAGCTTGAGCTACAGAATATTTGAAGGATCCACAAAAATCCACTCGGATCATATTGGGACGTTTAACGTTGAAGGATGGAAGGAACTGAATATTCCATTGAAACGGATTCCCGGTGATCATGAGATTTGTGCTCAGGTACTACATAGATTTATCCATGTTCTCGGATTGAAATTTTCAGCTTCTGAATCCAGCAGTCTCCCGCCACTACGTTTGTTCCAGAATCGTCGATGCACTTGATTGTCCCTTTCTTCCATTTTCATCCTCGAATTCCTGTTCTTTTTCATTTTTCATTTTGATTTCTTGTTTCGTTTTTTTTCTGTGTTTAAATAGATTTTAGGTTCAAAAAGCAATAAACAATCGAAAGTTTTTTTTCTTTATTTCTTCACACATATACATCTAAATGGGTGCTGGACACACGGCGTGATGTTGATCTGTTTCTCTAACAACTGTGGTTATGGAGGAAAGCGTTGGACATAAATTTTAGTTTATGGGAGGTGTCAGAAATGCTTCTGACGTTTTGACGTTTAGAACTTAGAAGTTGAGGTCTGTAGAGGAAGCATGAATGCTTGGAACGAAAAAACTTCTAGTGTTACAACTTTCTCTTTTTTCCATTTCCGAATAATTTTCCCTACCGTAACCCTTTTCATTTTCGAATATTTTCAACCTACACTAATCCTTTTTCATTTTCCAATGTTTTTGAACTACAGTAATATTTTTCATTTCCGTATAATTTTCCCTACAGTAAGCCTTTTCATTTTTGAATATTTTTAACCTACAGTAATATTTTTCATTTCCGTATAATTTTCCCTACAGTAATCCTTCTCATTTTTGAATATTTTTCCCCTACCGTAATCCTTTTATTTTTCGAATAGTTTTCCTCTACAGTAATCCTTTTCATATCCGAATATTAACCCCAACTGAAACATCATCAGAGACGTATATCACCAAATGACAGATATGCTTATTCCGAATCGCTATCAGTCGAGATCAACTAATTTCTTCTCCAGGTTACTTTTCTGATATTCCTTAGAAAAACAACTGTATATTTCTTCTTCTCATGGAACAATGTCTCTCTGATCCCTATCCCATCTGCCGACAGACGGAGTTTTTCCTCTTCTGATGGTTCCTTTTGTGTTTCATTTTTCTAAACATTCTCCGATCCCACAAATGAAGTTGTAGATGGTGTGCGTAAGATTAAGAGACCTTCAGAATAGGTTAAAAAATGTCAATTAATAGTGGCGCGATGCAAATCAAAGTGTCCTCTCTCTTCTCTTATAAAAACATTCTCATTGTCATTCTATTCAAAGTTCATGGCCCATAATCAATTCGTCCTTCTTCACCTCCATTCTTCTTCTTCTTCTTCTTCTTTTTCCAACCTTTTTCTTTTTTTCTCCCAGGGTGTTTTTGGGTGGAATAGAGGAGCGCGGGTGCAATCCCTCCCTTGGTCCACGCGCGCCATTCACCACGATTTATAGCCATACACATACACACACATTTTTATTGCTTTCGGACTGCTGCCCTCTCAGCGATTTGTACGCTCTCTATCCGTCTGTCGTAGTGACCCTCTCTGGTAGAAATGCTATCTGAGAAGCCGATCAGAACGACACCAGCAGTAGCAGCAGCCGGAGGAGAAGGAGGAGGAGGACCCTCACAGGATCCTTTGGACCTAACCCTTTTCGTTTGGAGTCTTAACTCTGAATATCATCGATTTCCCCTTTTCTCGCAGCGCCACTTTTGATCTCTTCCCTTGCCTTGCCTAATCGGCTGATTTATACCCTTTATCTCGAACTCGACGTCCCTCTCTTTTCCTCTTTCATTCTACCCGACTGCGTTAATTTATGAGGTTCGTAGACAGATAACAACATGGGTGTCTTTTTGAATTCTTTTTTCCCGCGTCTCCTAGAATTTTGAATGTGTCCTAACTCTTAACTTTTTCTTCGAATATGATGATCTCGGTAGAGTGTCGTGTCCACTTTTTTCCGTTGTCCCGTTCTCTATGGCGCCGTAGACAACGTCAAATAGCCATCACCTATACTCTCTCGCCTTCTCCCTCTTCTCCTTCGCTATCGAACTTCTTCTCTTTTCTTTCCCATTTTAGCCATATTTGCACTTGTACTAGTCATCGTTCCCGTCAGTTTTCGTATTCTTGTGTTAAGTTATACATTAACAACAGGCAGATAGAGAGATGATTTTTTTTTCTCAACTGACCACTCGCTCTATTGTATTCACTTTTTTCTATTGTTAAGCATATGGGTCGAAAGGGGATGATAACTGTATTGACTTTGCGAGTCTTCTATTTTAGGATTAGGTATTTTCTAAGGGAATGGTAGTTGCACAGAGTTCCAAAAGACCTGGTCAGAACTCGCGCGAACGTGAGAATGGGGCGTATTGTTTTCGTTGGCTGAGTATCTGGTGTTTTTCCCAAACAATACCCCTACTATCGTGATTTTATTACAATACAGAGTTTCAGTAAGATCCTATCGATTATCTGTTGTTCACAACTCTCAATTCCAGATCCCTTTCTTTTCCAATAATTCAATGATCCATCGCCTGTTCCAAACTATTCGTTGCCCATTCGTCTCATTGACGTTCTCGTGTTCGAAATTTGAATTTGAAAAGTTCTTGTCTTCCTTCTTTTCCTCATTCCTATTTGCACTTGTACCAGTCATTCTGCGACAATCACCTTTTGAGATGGACGTCATTTGCTCCCCCCTCTTCCGACCATCATCATTTTTTGTTCACCTAGAAATTCGTAATTCTTCTTCTTCTTTTTCCTCTCGTTCTTTTCCAGATGTGTTCATATCAATTCGTTCTTTTTCTCCCCTCTTATTCTGATACATGTGTCCGCATACACTAAACATATCGCCTATGACACGGGTCGACGTCTTGTCATAAATCTCTTAAATTTCTATAGCCAGAAGTGTCTATGTGTATCATCGATCGGTTTGGGAAGAGAAAAGACAACGGAGAGAAGAAGACGTAGTATTCTCTCCCTCGACGAACCTAATAAATCAAGACATTAAGAAACGAGAGAAGATCCCCGTGTGCGTGTGTGTGTGCGTTTGTCGCATTTGATTCAAAAGAGCCCAGTATTAATTTGAAGTTGAAATATTGCCCTGTTTTCTACTTTTCTCCTCCAACATGATTCGTCTCCCAGAAACACTTTCCTTGTCAGTTTCTCATGAGTTATGGGTCTTCAAAACTGCTTCAACGCCTTGAGCAGCATGTTTAGAGTATTTGGAGCAAGTACTTCAAAAGAAATATCTTTATGTTTTTGATAAAACTAAACAGATGTCTAAAGACGTCTGATACGAGAACTGGTGGGTTGTCAGTAGTTTCGCAGGAGAAGGGCACTGCCGAAAAACTGATAAATAACAGCTGAAGAGGCTCAAACTGGTGAATACCGTAAAACCTGCATTAGAAGGACCGGTCCTTCTATTACTGGGGGCCCTTCTATTTCCCTAAGCCCCTCTCAGAGAGCCCTTCTAATACAGGTTTTCAAGAAGAAGTGACGGGCCGTCGACGGACTGCAGAAGGACAACCAGAACCCCTTGGAAAACCGACTTGAAAGTTGTGATTGTAAATCAGCCAGCAAACAATATTTCATGCTCCAATTAGATTATAGACTGATTGAAACTAATTTCCCTTCATCGGTCCACCTCAAAAAAGTAGGGCCAGCGCGCGATTCGACTGCCGACAGTTATCTTTTCGGAAGTCAGCGCCCCGCCGGAAGTCTTGTTTTTCGACAGTGTCCCTCAACTTGTGAGAACTTGAAAGAAGCTAACACAAACTTTTCAAATCCATTGCTGTGGTTAAGCCTAAACGTCCAAGCAGTTTCTGAGAAATAAAATTTTGATTTTCTGAGCCGAAGCAGCTGGTCTTAAAGAATTCTCAATTTGAATACCCCCTCTCTCTGTAAACCTTCTCTTTAATCCCGATCCAATCGGAGCAATACTACTCTCTGCGTCGATTCCCCATAATGAAATGAGAAAGCTATTCAATACTTTCCAATAAATTAATCCATTACCACGTTATCCTTCCCTAAAATTTTGGTGGTAATCGGTGAAAGCGCGGAGTCGTAAAGGGCGAATAGGAAGAGAAAAGAGGAGAGCAGGAGCAGACGACTAGACAGTATGTTTGTGTAGGGGAAAGAGAAGAAAGACGTCTTCCCTCCGCCCCCTTTCCCCCGATGTTAACCGACCCAAACCATCCTCGAATTTATTTTTTTGGGAAGGAGCTAGTAATGGTCATTCTCGAGAACCTCCCTTTTGGATCTTCTTCTATTTTTTAACTTTAATTTTGTTCCAATAAAACCTAATCGAACATCTGTTATCAACAGCCTATCTTATCTAGTTTTAATTAAAATTTTCGATAGGTGACCAGATAGTGTTTTCATTTACTAAATCATCGGATTTCGCCTATTTTGTCATTCTATTTTTGAAATTTTCAGTCAAGCATCTCAAACATCCTTTCAATGTGTTTTTCCGAATTCTTCGATTCCAGTCAGCCGCTTTTGTTATTCCCTTCTTCTTCTTTTTTTTCGTTCTCTTCATCTTTTTTCGTAATTGACCCTAATTATTTCGTAACTTTTGTAGCTCTTCTGGCTCCAACTCAACTCATCAGATGATGCATTCGCTTGGAATACTATTATTCATTCCACTCGCCACATCATCCATCTTCGATCAGGTCCGACTCAAAAACCAATTTCCTGGGATTGAGAGCCCCTTTCTCTTCCAACGAGGAGCCCCTTGTTACCCTAAAATGAAATTGTTTTGCAGGCAGTCAAAGGGAAATGCATTCCAATCGACATAGAGCTATGCAAAGATTTACCATACAACTACACTTATTTTCCGAATACAATTTTGCATAACGATCAACACACGGTAAGCCTTCCCCTTCTTTGCATCTATTTCCATAATTTTGATTCCGAATCCTTTCCCTTCATATATACCTTAAAGTCTGAATCGATGCCTCCCATTTCCCCCAATTTCAAAAACTGACCAATTTTTTGGCGGTGTCGAGGGGACGCGGGGTGTCGGCATCTTCAAAGAGCACCATTTTTCTCGTCTCGGCGCATGTCTGTGTCTCATCGGTGTGAATGATCTCTAACTTTGGGGGGGGGGGGGGGTTTCATAGAAGTGAAATGAGACAAAGGGATGAAATGAATCGTAGAGAAAAGGAAAAATATGGCGATTCCGTGGGATGGTTGTGGTTGGAAAGAAGGAAGAAAAAACGATGAAGAAGAAGATGAACTGCATTTTTTTTTCCATCGAAAAATGCACACGGACACCTTCTCTCAGAACCGAAATGAACCGGAAAAGAGGAAGAATCAAGACTTAAATCAAAAACGAAGATTGGATGAATCAGGCATGAGAGTTGAAGGATAGTTTCTGAAACCCTCGCACTTCCAAGCAAAAATTTCAGATACTTGTTCAAATTCCCATTCAAGACAGTAGTCTGCATTTTATTTGCGAATTTAAAGCAGAGCCTTTTTATCTTCTCAGAGCTGCACGGTGGTTTTTTTTGGGAATGCCGTGTAAATGCGCTCAAACGCAAAACAACCGTAATACTGCATTGAATATATCATTGATCTCAACGCGAAAGCTCTGAATTGAACTGCTGATTCGCTACTCAGTGGTGCCTGCATTCTATCGAAAAATCGCAGGAAGATAATTATTTTTAAAAACGTTCCGGAAAACACCGTGTAGTTCTCCCATTTTTTGCTTCAAAACAATTTCAGCCCATTTGCCACTACCACCACCACCTCCATCATTTTATTTGTACTGATTGACACTGTCGCGTAGGTTTTTATGGCCCAAATCTAAAAGAACTAGCTGTGATAACGGAACTGATAACATGCACCACATGGCGGCGAATCAAAAAAGAAAAAAGAGCCGACGGACGACAAAATATGTTTCTAATTTTGCATCGGAGGGTCAATTCCACAACTTCCTCTCTCTCCCACTAACCAGCTCCAGTTTTTACGACCTCCCGTTCTTCTTCTTCTTTTCAATGGTGTCTCTTTTCTTTTCATCACATACACATTTGCATTTCGAAGGAGCAAAATAGGGGTTGGTCAGAAAAGAAAGAAAAAGAAAAGATGTTTGGGGTGGTCTCTAATTGCATTTTGGGACCACCACAATGTAACTGAAAGGGGGAATACATACACACAGATTCTCAGAAAAACCAGACAAAAAATTTGATGAAGGGATTTGTATAGAAGCCATAATCGGATTTATTTTTCAGCTACAAACACACACGGAGCACTTCAAACCGTTGATGAAAACGAAATGTCACCCACATATCCACTTTTTCATTTGCTCAGTTTTTGCTCCAATGTGTCCAGTTGGAATGCCACAAGCGGTAACTAGTTGCAAATCAGTTTGCGAGCAGGTAAGAATGAAATATGAAGCAATGGATAAATCTAGGGCGACAGATACTGTATTTTGGACATGAAGACTATCGCAAACCTAAAAACTACCGTATTCTCTCTCGCAGAAGCCCACCCAAACTTCGAGCTCACTTATTTCGATTCCTGTAAAAGATATCAAGAATTTGTCAACTAATGAAATGTAGGTGCTGTTGTGATAAACAGTTTATCAGTCAACAACTTTTTGATATCTTTCACAGGAATCGAGATAATCTAGACGGTTATTCTATTGGAGGTGAACTGTGACTGTTAATTTTGCTCCTACTCGTCCAACTGTTCGAATTTCACCGAATCCGGATGAATTCACCCAATTAAATTTGGCACTAATGATCTACTTTTTTTTTGCTTTCTCAAATGTGACTCGCGTGACTTCCGCTCGCACCTGTTCATGTTCAACCAGCTGTCTTTCCGCAGCTTCCTCCAATTAAGCACCCTATTGCTCAGCTTACACACGCATACAAGTGCGTGGCTCATTACGGTTCTAAAATCATTAAGGACAGGTGGACATCAATCATAATAGGGAAGAAAAGTTGACTGGTCTTGTCCCCTATACCTATGTGACCTAGATGGTCCATTTGGAAAGAATATTGTAAACATCTGACATGTGGTGGACGAATTGTTTGCCGATGAGATTAACACACATTTCCATATCCACATAAATTTTATTATAGGTGAAAGCTGATTGCTTTTCGATACTCGATGAGTTTGGAATTGGATGGCCTGAGCCCCTCAACTGTGCTCAATTCCCAGATCCACCGGAATTGTGCATGAAACCAACTGAAGATGAAATCACAGGAGGATTCTCGGCTCCACGTGTACCATCTAAAGTTGCCAGTTCGTCATCCAAAAAACCAACAGGATGCCCAAGTGATCTTGTTGATGTAGACCCACATGATTCAAAATCACAGTGTGCGTTCTCGTGCGAATCGAATGTTATGTTCAGCAGTAACAACAAGGTTCTCCATTTCTCGATGAAATCCAAATTTCAAACAAATAATTACAGCTTATGGTCCGTTCATGGTCAATTTGGTTTGCTGCAGCTAACGCTGGAGTCGCCATTTTCTCCTTTTTGACGTTTGCAATTGACCGAAAAAGATTCCGTTTTCCGGAGAGGTTCGTTATTATAAAAAGAGACATTTGGGATAAAAGAGCGGAGAATTGAGAAAGCAAGAGAAGGGGAATAAGTGGGTAATAACGAGAAAAGAAAATGAGTCACTTGGGGGAACAAGCTGTTGCAATTGTCTTGCCGACGATGATGAGAATAGGGGAGATCAGAAATTGAGACGAATAGTATAGTTATGAAGTAAAATGTGAGAAAAACTGACCCAAATAGTATACATGTACAGTACCGTGCAATAAGATAAACAACGACGATGTATTTTTCAATTGGTTTTCGGTCATTTTGACAATTTTCAAGAGTCTGAATCTCGGCTGTCAAGTTTCCAATCACTTTGAAAATATTGTAGCATCTAAAACAGATCTAGATTGAAAGCTTTGCATTCACAGCATTTTTTAAAAATTCCTAGTTTTTCAGATATTTTCCGATTGCTAAGAAACTCCCGTTTTCAATACAAAAACGGGCCTAAAATAAACGAAAACTACATGTTGCATTTTATCTTACTGAACGGTACTGTTTTTTTGGTAGTTTTAGGGATACTGAGAAAAACTGACTACTTAAAAAAACAATTTTCCAACACATAAGATCAATACTCAATAGAATATAACTTTCATTGAAAATTCTGATAATTTCAGATGTGTCTTCTACCTCTCCTTGTGCTTGTTCCTCTCTTCACTACCGTACCTCTCCCCATTGATTCTGGAACCTAAAATACGTTCTTGTCATGCTATGGGCAACGGAAGATCATACCTTTCAATCGGCTCTTTTGACAATTCCTATTGTCTTGCCTCATTCCTTCTCAACTACTTCTTCACCACAGCGGCCGCTCTTTGGTGGTTAATGTTCTCGTTTACGTTGTGAGTCGATTAATCCTTGAGTCATCTAATCCGTTCCTGGGAACCCCTCAACCAGATGTCTTTTCAGGTACCTGAGCGGAGGACGAAAGTGGGTGCCAGAAGGCATTGAAGCATGCAGCAGTTATGTTCATTTTGTTGCCTGGGGACTTTCGTCACTTGCAACTATCGTTGTTCTCATCTTCAACAAAGTCGATGCCAGTGAACTAACTGCTCTTTGTTCGGTGGGAAACCTGAATTCGATCGCTCTTCTCTGGTTTGTAATCGTACCAAGAACAATTTGCATTGTGATTGGAACTTGCTTTATTGTCGGAGGATTTGCGAGTATGTGCAGAGAGAGAATCAGTTTCAGAACAAGGGTGAGACTATACTTCCTGGTATTATACTTCCTGATATTATATATCCTGGAATTTTCTCCCAATAAGTGGGAAAATGAAAATTTTCTAAATATTAAAAGTTGCCAGAAAACGGACGAAAATCGATTTTAAAAAATGAAAGTAAAAATATTTGCTAATTACGGTAGTTCAGCCGTGGCCACGACCACCCAATTTTCGATAATTTTTTTCAGGGAACGGATACATCGAAGCTAGAAAAACTAATGGTCAAAATGGGTCTCTTCTGTGTGCTTTTCATTTTGCCCAACGTCGTTGAACTTGTGTGCGAGTGCTATAAATTTATGATTCTCACTCAATGGACTCGTATGACAATCGACTGCAAGCAACAACTCGGAGCATGCCATCGTCCACCTCCACCCCAAGCTGAAATTTATATGGCATCTGTGTTGTCCAGTTTGACCACTGGATTCTCGTGTCTTATGTGGGTGCTCTCAGCAAAAACTATCCACTCTTGGAAGAACTTTATCTTCTGTGGAATGTGCTCGACGGCTCCAGTTAAGGTAAAACTGACCACTTTTTGAAATTTAAACATCTTTTTATTCGTAGAATCCGATCGAACCATCAACTCGCCCACTTCTGGAGCCTCCAACTGCTCCACCACCACAACCACCGGTATACATGCAAATGACAACGACTCCTCAGAATGCGTGGAGACCTAGCAAAGTGGTCTGAATCAGATCAAGTCTCCCTTCGTACCTCAATGCTCTCAATGCCCATGACAAAACCGATGATCTATAATATTCACTCCGTCTCTTATTTGTCTGTTCTTTGCATTCGATCAATTGACAATTATCCCACCCATTCTCTCTCATTCACCTTACTTTGAAAACGGGTTTTTTCTTCATTGTTTTGCTCTATTCGAGACTGATATATTTTGATGAATAATAAAATATTTTCCAGTGATTATCATTGTTTTTGGGTCAGAAGAATAAATAAAATAATGAGTTTGAAAATCAAGGAATCAGGATCGCATTCATTTTTGTGGCTTGATTTTCGGTGGTTTGAATGCAGCTCCTTTCATGGTTTTTCCTTTATCTTCCTTCTTTGCCTTTTTTGCCTGGAAGTTCCGCCAGCTACCCGACCGCTCATCTCGAGATTCTTCGTAGTTCTTCGCGAACTCCTCAGCCAGCTTTCTCTTCTCAGCAGCTTGAGCCATTGCTTCTGTAGCACGACGTCTGGAAAATATATTGGCAATTGTTAACAAAGATTTTAACTCACTTTTCATCATTGGCTCTGTCTTCGAGCATTTTTCTCTTCTTTTCTCTGTCTGCAAACACCTTGGTTACAGTAATCCAAAGGGCTTTTTTGTAGCCATCTGGATTGTCCTCGTCTATGTCGTCTTCTTTTCCATCCTTCCGTAATTTCCTTTTCTTTTCGGACATCTGAAAATGATAAATTGGGAAACACTATGTTTCTTTATACCTACCACAATAGCCAATCTGGCTTTGGCTTCGGTGTAGCAGTCTTTGCACCGATTCAACTCGATTGGATCCTCCATTTGCTTTATAGCTTTCTTCACGATATCGAAAGCCTTGTCAGCTCTTTCACGATCATCTGGATTTTTATCGGGGTGAACAAGCAATGAAAGCTTTTTGTACTTCTTTTTCGCAGCCTCAATGTCAGTATCTAGATCGATTTGAAGGACTTCATAAGGATTTAAGTTCAAATAAGTGGATCCTGGCTTCAAAAGTCGATCAATCTGTTGTTCGGACGTGAGAGCTGCATCCTGCTGCTCCGTTGATTTGAGCTGAATAGAACGAGATTCGAATTTTGTCAAAATAAATGGAAACTTACATCTTGATAGAAGGATTCGAACTGTGACATGTGTCTATAACATACAAAACTAGTTAACAGGAATTCCTAGGAAGGATAAAAAATGTTGATATAATAGATATTGGTTGGGAGCTATGACCCAATTGAATAGTTACGATAATAAGAATTTCAAAATTAGATTTATTGCGATTTGACCAGAAAACAATGTCATTCAAATTCTATCTACATACATTGTGAACTACATTTCAAACTGCAGTTTATCAACATGTGGTTGAAGCTCATCAATCGTAGGCTGTAATCGGAAGTTTAAAACAGAGCAGAGTGGGAGCTCATAGGCTAACAAATCAGCCTTCTGTTCTCTGAGCTGATCTTCCGCCTGCTCAATGTAAGCCTTAATCGTTGGTTTTTTGTAGTCGTTCATTTTGAGTGCCACGAGTAGGGATGCTCCAGCGACACATTTGCGATTCGCTTTGGATATCAGACCCTGAAAATGTTCAAACAGTTACCAAAAAATGACCTTGTTTAAAAAATACCTTTATGATAATTTTTTCGAAGTAAACAAAAGCGGTTGCTACAGTATACACATCGATTTCGTGTGCTTTTCCTAGAGCAGCCATCTCTCTTTTCAGACTTTTCATTTTGCTCAGAGTCAAATGAATGAGTGGAAACTTTGCCTCGAAGTCCTCATTGGTTTCTTGTTTTGTTTTTTCAGCAGTTTCCCAGTGAAGCGTAGTTGCAACGAAGCCGTCATGTCGGATAATAGTCCTCTTTCCTACGCCTAACTCCGCGAAAACTGTCGGATTGTATTCTTCAATGATTTCTGATGGCTCTTCTGATCGACTTATATCTAGATCGTATTTATCATCAACGGATGTTCCTCGTTCGTAGCTCGGTTCTCTATTCACTGTTTGAGGTACTTCGATACTTTCAGCAAATGGATCTTCAGACAATTCCCCATTGCGGAAACTTTCCTGCAAACTTTTTTTGATTGTTCTTCTGCGCTTTCTTCATGAATCTCACCCTTCTTTCCTTTCTCGAAATTTGTGTTGGTGGCTTATCAAACAGCGTGAAAAATGGAGAAGGATTCCGCTTTCTTCGTGCTTGACCTAAAATCACCTGATCATCTGGATCACGAAACACGAACGGGCGGAGTTCTTCTGTGGATGCAAGTGCTTGGTGGCGCATTCGATCGGAACTAAAATAATTATATTTCATTAAAACCATTTGATCGAATTTTGAGTATTTTGCACATCTCACAAAAATGTGAACAAGCTAAATGGATTAATCTAAACCTTCCAAATATTGATTTCGACCGGAACTTTTTCTTATTGACGGTAGTGTTAGCGAAAATTGGTGCCAGAGGATCAACGTAGTCATTGTTAGGTGAAAGGTAGGAGAAGACAGCAAGAGGGTGACCACCAGAGGCAGTACAGATGAAAAACCTGGAAATGGGTTAGTGGGGAACGCGAGAGGTTTTTGACAAATTAATTGAGACTGGTGTGTAGGGTTTCGAAGTTTCACGAACCTGTCTGCATGTGTGATAGTGCTTTTCAATCTCCTTAGAAAACTGAACTGATTTGAGGAACAAGATGGAGATTCTGACCGAAACTCTAAAAAATAAAAGTTGTTAGTTCTGGTTAGGAATAGAGCATTTGACAGTAAAACGACGCATACCGAGCAGCCCACTATCCTCTCGACCCACTCCTTCTTCCAGAATCGGGGTTCGGCTATTTGTGGCTGTCATCGAATAAATTACATCGTCAGAGCTCATTATCTTTGCAATTCGTTTGAATATGGAAGTTCTGAAAAATGGAGAAAATCGTTGTTTCGGTCTAGAAGTATTATATCACTTCTTTTGAGGCGTTTCCCGAGAATTGTTGTTGAGATAAACTCCATTTTGATCACTTTCTAGATAATCGAGTGGTAGATTCGAGGAACTCTGAAGAGCGTAGTGTTAATAAATACTTGAAAATGAAAAACTAAACACTCACCAATCTGTCGCCAAGGGAAGTAGTAGTTCCAAGGGAGATGACTGATTCATTATTCCGAACGGGTGCTGATGAACTGGCACCATTTGAAAACTTCTTTTCCGAAGATAACTAAACGAAATCATAATTTAAATATCATAGATGTGCTGAATTACTTTCGGAAGTCCTTTTGCTTGAAAAATGCGTAGGTTTGTATCTTGGTGGGTGCCATCTATACTGATATTGGACAGGAAGTTTTGAGCAACAAGAATATGATAATTACTTTTCTTCTTTACCATTTATTAGATAAATATTTTTTGATTACACCGATGACCTGATAAAAGTATGTTGAATAAGGTTTCGAAACGGAGAAATTCGATTTTTTTTAGTCGACTACGGTCAACATTGAAGTACGCAAATGTCGTAATATTCGATGCATTTCGCATTGTGTTTGCGGGCGGAGGAAAATTTCGAAAAATTAATTTTCTTGTGCGAGGATTCGTTTCCATCTATCGTGTTTTGATTAAGATAATCCTTTTCAATTATTATCCTTGTCTGAGAAAAAAAAAGGTTGAGACGCAGAGAAAAAGTGTCTGTGTCTCCACCTTATGTGTGCTATTTAGGCTCTCCGCTTCGATATCGCTACCGTATTCAGACTGCAAAAAATACTCTCTAACCTTTTTTTCTCAGACAAGCATAATATCTTTCACTCTTTTTTAACTTTTGCTCAGATTCACTCGATTTGTTCTCTATTTTCTTGAGTTGAGTATATTCGATTCGAGTGCCTGACAAGAAATTTTACTGCTTCTTCTCGTCTTTGTCAGAAAATTTTTTGCTTCCTTTTAAACCGATGGTTAAGAATCTGTATTTTCAGGAAAATGAGTAAGACGCACCCACCAGAGCTCAAAAAGTACATGGACAAGGAAATCGAGCTGAAGCTCAACGGAAATCGTCACGTCTCTGGAATTCTTCGCGGATTCGATCCATTCATGAACATGGTCATTGATGTAAGTTGATACTTAGTACACCTCTTCTTTTAGATAGAAATATGCTCCATGTCTTATTTTCAATTTTCAGGAAGCTGTCGAGTATCCAAAGAACGGAAACTCCATTAACCTCGGTATGACTGTCATTCGTGGTAACTCTGTCGTCATCATGGAGCCAAAAGAAAGAGTATCTCACTCCTGAACCAACGATCTCCATGTCATTGTTACTCATTTTTCGCCTATACTATTTCCAACATTGTCTGATCTTTCTATGCGTGATAAATCCGTTTATAAGTTGAATCCATGATATTCTTTGATACTAATGGCAGAATCTACCAATAAGTCTGATGTTTATGAATCTCCAGATGAACTCTCAAAAGAAGGCTATTTTATCAGTTATTATAAAATTTACAGTCATGATTAAAAGCTCATGTAAACATCGTAGATCCGAAAGTTTGAACAAATTTTACAGAAGAGAACTCTGACAAGTCACGATTGACTAAATAAGTAGCGAGCTCGTATCTCGTCTCGATTGTATTATCCAATCCAAATGATAGTGTGACCCAAAATTTGGTATCTGCTCGGTTAAAGCATTAATTTCAAACGCAGACACTGCTTTCAGCGTTGTTCTCCTGCTTGGCCATTGACGAGAAGTAAACGCGACTGACAAAAAACACAACAACAACAAAAGCGAATATGTAAGGGTGAGAGAGAGAAGGGACTTCAGTAGCGATATTCGTCTCTCTGCGGCTGCTGGTGTGCCCGTTTCTTTCCACTATGTGCGGTCTCAACGACTCTTCGCTGTTGTTTTCCTTCTTCTTTTTTGCGCCTCTCTTACTCCTACTCTCCTTCGCGACAAAACGAATACTCTTTCCCCCACTTCTTATCTCTTTTGCCGGCGACTTGTCCCAGTTTTTCCTATCCTTCGAAAATTGTTCACCATCTTCTTCGCCTATCATCATGACTTTCATCACTCTTTGAGCATCGCCGTTTTTCTCGTTCAGAAACTATCATCATATATCCCACATCTGTGGAGAGAAGTACTCTTGGCAGATACTACGTGCATCGATATATCGCGCTCTCAAAGCTTCGAAGTAACAGTTGCCAGTATACTTTGTTGATTAGAGATTTAAATTAGACTCGAGTTTCGAACCTTTTGAGAGCTTCTCACAAAGTTACATAAACTTCGATCTCTATTCTTGCTACTTAGAATATTAACAGAACGAATTTCTGCTATTTGATCTACCGCGCGTTAAATTTAACGACCTCTAGAATGTTCCGTTTACCCGCCTTCTCTGCTGTGTCGCGCTCTCCTTACTTTGTCCGTATGCATTGTCACTTTGAAGTTGTTTCAATGACGAATCGACTGTGGATTGTGCCCTTGCCGATTTGTTAGCGCCGTGCGTCCCCTTACTATCATCGATCGATGAATTTTGTCCTCTTCTGCCGATCTATTTTCCTTTCCTTTCTGTGCACTCCTCTGTTGTGGAACGTTTGGTTATCACTCTCTTTTCTTCCTGTTTCAACTCTCCGTTCAGTCTCTGCGCCGAAACACAAAGAAGTAGCATCTACTGGCCGTTGTAGAGAAAATGACATTTGAATGTGGTGCGCACCTCGTGTATGGAAAAACGAATGAATGTAGTCACCTCTCGGCTCCCGTCTTTTTCCGATGTTTCAAATATGCCGTTCTTCATACTTGTAACGGGCCGGGCCGAACTTTTTCCCGAATTTCGGAGGCCCGGCCCGGCCCGGCGGGCCTGTCATTCCACAAGTTTTGAAAATTTCAAAAAACACATAAGGGGGGGGGCCTTATGTGATTTTTTTTTCGATCAAAAATTTTTTTTCGAGTTTTGTTGATATTTTTATATCAAACAGACAAACAATCCAAAAACACAAAAAAATAATGGAGAAAATTGTATTGAGAGCTCAAAATTTGGCTCAAAACGACAAACTTTTTGCTACCGGGCCCGGGCCTTTAAAATTTCCTCAGGCCCGGCTCGGGCCCGGGCTTTGGCGGGCCGGCCCGGAATTTTACATGTATGCCGTTCTTTCCTTTTTCGAAATCAGCTAGTGAGAAAGCACTGATGTTCTCAGAGTTAATGATATTTTTATAACCTTACGGACTTCCCCTTCTTATTTATTCGTTTTCTTTGTTTTCGCTCTACATTTTTCTTTTACAGAACCATGCCAGTTCCACCACAAGCCCAAAAGGTGTTGGACGACATTGACAAGCAGCTCCATGAGCCAAGCACTGTCACCAATGTGTTGGCTACAGTCGAGGCTAAGACCGGCTTGAAACGTCTTCATATTGTGCTCGGTGTCGTTGGTCTTCAAGCCATCTACCTCATTTTCGGACATTCCGCTCAGCTCGTTTGCAACGTCATGGGATTCGTCTATCCAGCATACATGAGGTAAGAAATACTTCGGGGATCATGCAGATTTCTGGATACATTTTTTGGGAAAGATGGGAGGAGACTAAATTTCAAGCCACCCACGCTTTTCCCGAATTTTTTCTCTTAAGTTTTGCATAAAATCGAGGAAAAAAGTGTGTTAGAAAAAAAGCGGTCTATTTCAACTCCTCCCATCTTTCCCTGGAAAGCTTCAGGTTTTAACCATAGAATCTTCTGAAACTCAGAATTCGTTGACGTAGATGGCCTCATGGTCGGCAAACATCTTCCCGCTCAAAATGACATTCCTCTGTTAAAATACATATCTTTCAGCATCAAGGCTATCGAGTCAAGTAACAAGGAAGATGACACTCAATGGTTGACTTACTGGGTTGTGTTCGCCATCCTCTCAGTTGTCGAGTTCTTCTCCGTTCAAATCGTTGCTGTTTTTCCAGTCTACTGGCTCTTCAAGTCGCTTTTCCTCCTCTACCTTTACCTTCCAACCTTCCTCGGAGCCACCAAGCTTTACCACAGGTAGAAATAGCACGCTAGACATGTACATGGCGTATAACAATTTTTTAAAGATTCGTCAAGCCTGTCGTCGCCAGACACAATCACGGATCTATCGACGCTAAGATCGGAAACTTCGCTGATAGAGTCAACAGTGCCGCCGGAAAGCTTGCAAGCGATGTTCGCGACCATTTGGAGTGATTTCGTGTGAAATTTTTTCGATGTTTTTCTCGTTTTTAAAATTACCTCCACACTCCCTTATATATTTGCAACCACCTATTCCAAGTTTATATTGCCCCAGAATTTCGCCTCCATTTCCCAAATATTTCGTTTCGGTTAGGTTCGCCCCTTACTCAGATCTGTTTGTCGCTCTCATTTTGTCTACTGCTAACTTTAACATAAATCGACATAATGAACACTCCTTATCTTCAGCCAGATAATTTATTTGTTGGTTTTTCGTAGTAGAACATTCGATATACACATGAATATCTGATTGTGAGCCCACATTGAATTCGCAACAACGTAGATAGTGATTGGTTGCAGAAAAATGGACGAATATCGAGAATTGATAAGCGTCCTACCGCTGGATACAGTGGAATATGCATTTGCGTATGGATCAGGTACTCGACGGAATCTTAGCTTACCATCATCGGATAGTTTGTAGGGGCAATTCAACAAAAAGATGAGAACAAGGCAGAAAAGATGGTGGATTTCGTTGTTGTTACAAAAGATGCACAAGAATTCCACAAAGCTAATATCGCAAAGAATCCTCAACACTACAGTCTTCTACGCCTTCTCGGACCAAAAATGCTTGAAAAGATTCAATGTAACTTTGCAGCTCGTGTTTATTACAACACTCATGTGAATGTAGGAAAAAGGAAAATTAAGTATGGTATCATCTCGTATGAAAATGTCAAGCAAGATCTACTGGATTGGCGATGGATCTACATCTCCGGTCGTCTTCATAAGCCCGTTCTCGACGTTATCAAGCCGAAAGATGACATGTGTGATTTGGTTACGGAGAATCGAAGATCTGCGCTTCATTCTGCACTTTTGTTACTTCCAGAGTCATTTACTCTAAAACAACTTTTCCATCAAATAGTAGGACTTTCCTATACTGGAGATTTTCGTATGATTGTTGGAGAGGACAAGAACAAAATCATGAAAATAGTGGAGGGTAACTATGAAGAACTTATGCGAGTTTACGAACCACTGATGAATGATGATGCTCGTCTTTCTGTGATGTCACCTGCCAAAGTTATTCAAGATGGATCCACGACGGCAATTTACCACAGGCTGAATCTGTTACCGTCAGAAGTTTTGAATCAGATTCAAAAAAATATGAACAAAGCGCAGAAGAGGCAAAGGGACGCTGAGGAGGTAGGAGTTTGATTTCACATCTAAAATTTAATGTGAACTGCTTTGAAATATTTTGGGACCATTAAGCTGGTGCGCCTCCGGCGTCACTTAACCTTGTTGTTCGGCTCC